CTGCTGTTGTTTCTGAAAAGAACTAGAAAATGCAGCACATATATGAAACATTCTAAAAATAGTAATAAAAAAAAGCAAAATGTTCTAAATTTATAAAAGAGTAGCTATTTGCAGAGAGATATCTGGTAGAGGATGTTTTTTTGTTTTACGTGGGTCAGTTTCTCCCCAACCTGAAGAGTGGTGTTCTACTCATTGCTGCCACATCTGCAGCTCTCATCTTAGACTCTTGGATATGTCCCTATCCTTTGGTAGGTGGAATGCAAAGGAAACTGTCTGTTGCCATTGCCTTCGTTGGTGAAGCAAAAGTGGTAGTCTTGGATGAGCCCACTTCTGGAGTTGATCCATATTCCAGGCGATCTATATGGGATCTTCTGCTAAAGTATCGCTCAGGTAACAGGTTTGCGCGAGGGAATTGTTTTTTTTCGTTTTGTTTTTTACCTGTTGTAGAGGCAGGATGTGCTTCCTGCATAAATGGTCACTGATTCTGGAATCTGAACACATGCAAACAGGATTCTCTGAGCAGATACCTATGGAGCAGGCAAACCTGAGACCTGGCACTAGTGCTGAGAAAACCCTACATTGCTTGCCATAAACTTCACCATTCCGAGTTCCTGAGGGGGTCTACGCCTTGAACCAGTCCTGCTTGTCCCTTCTCCTAGGCAGAACCATCATCTTGTCAACCCATCATATGGATGAGGCAGACATCCTTGGAGACAGAGTAGCCATCATATCCCAAGGGAAACTCTTCTGTTCAGGCTCTCCAGTTTTCCTAAAGAACTGCTTTGGATCTGGCTTCTATCTCACCCTTGTACGCAAGATGAGAAGCACCAGAAGTGGAAGGAATGCAGTAAGTATGCTGCTCCCTCCCCAAACATGTAATCTGAAGAATACTTGCGTGTATTCATGTGCTGCACCAAGATAGAAAGCAAGCAAGTGCTTCTTGTTACAAATCTGACTTCAAAATGAAGAAAACAGTGTTAACATTTAACATGTCTTGAAAGTATACGGCTACATGAGAATCTCTGTAACAAGTTGCTGGCGTTATAAAATTGTATTCATCAGGACAGTTGAAAATAATAAGTGGACATGAAGCCCTCAGTGGTCTAAAGTTTGGTCTGTCCAGTCAAGTATGCCTAAACATTTACATGTCAGGTTGCCTTTGTCCGCACCAGGGTCTTTCTGATCCCAGTTTTTGCAGTAGTGTGGGTGCAAATGTGTTTTTCTCTAGTAACTGGCTTAGAAACTAGGAGAGAGTGTGTTTATCGGTATCTAAATCAACTTCCTACAGCTTGAGAATTGGAGATCTGGAGCATTTCTGTTGCTAGCAAAACTTTTAGTTATCTATTAGTCTATTATCTATTTAGTAAAAATATGATCTGCATGTGCATGGCCACTGCTGGTTACATTTCCCTAGCTGTTTGTCTGTAATTTAGAATGGGCAGATACACTTTGTGCAGATCAATTTGTTTTCTGCGCTGCTTGCTTCAGTCCTCGGATGACTCTGTCATCTGTGTAATCTCAGTGTAAAATGCTCGAGATGCTCCAGATATAATGCATTTTTCACTGACACAACCTGTTCAAAGGGTGACAGCCTTTACATCCTGCTTTGCATTTATCTGAAGCACTTTCATCTTCTTATCTGTTTGTCCATGCTAGTCCTTCTGTAGCTGTGGATCTCAGTGCTCCTGCTCCTGCTCCAACTGTATGTGCAGGGACAAAGAAGGTGCTCCAGAGCAGGAACTGGATGGTAAGAAGTGGGATGGTTTGGCATTCCAGCATGCAACTGTGTCTCGTTGTGCAGTGCTCCTGTCTTACTGATCACTGCTGCTGAGGTCTCCTTTTCCATCACTTGTTTCTGATACCTGTATTTTACTGTAACATGGATTTGGTAGTTTCTTTGTGCTTTTGTTTATGGACCCTCCATTTTAATGTTTATGTGATCTAAGGTGCAGGTGCTGAACTGGTAGTTTGGGTGCTTCTTAAGTACAGACCTCGTTTTGAGCTCTTCTGCAAAAGATGTGCAATTTGGTAATGAAAATTGAATAGAACAGACTGCAAATAGTTTCCAGCTACATAATTCCAAATCCATGACTAACATTATAGTCGAGTCTAATGGAGAATTAG